AGGTAGGGGTGTGTGGATCCCTTGCTCTAGCAGGGGAACATGTAACTCCAGTGCATACACTTGAGGGAGTCTTTTCTTGTGCTGTGCCCATCACCTTGGTATTGGGTAGCCTAGGACAAGTCAATGGGAAGAATGGCAGCCTGGTCAGTAACATGACAATCCTCACACTCAGTCTGCACCCACTGCTGGGGAGGGCACTTCCTCTGATCCCGTCCCCCTTCTGAAGGCTGTGACCCTGCTGAAGGCATCCCTGGCTGGCTCCCTTGTCTCCCCCAGGTGTCTGCATGGGGGGAAGTCTGGGGATGTTGCTGTCTGGTGTCGGCCTGAGGATTCTGTCTTGCAGTTTGCCATCCCAGCTTTCATGCTGGCTGACGAACCAGAGGAAAAGGTGAGGCCCCACTATGGGTGGGGAGTGTGACTGGCTCTGCGCTTGGGTATCGTTCTGCTAGTGGCTGAAAGGGGTGGCTGGGCTCAGCTAGGGGCTGATGGAGGAGAGCAGCAGTCTGCACACCTGCCTCCTCAGATGCTGCCAACTAAGCAGCAGACTTGGGAGCCTTGAACGAGCTCCCTGCAGTGACTGAATGGAGCTGTCTGTACCTTGCAGCCTGGCCAAGGCACTCAGCAGCAATTGCCTGTTTTGCTTCAGGGTCCTAATTCTGAACAGAGGGTGCCCTATGAGGGACTCTGCCTGCCCCTCCCAGCTAAGCCAGAAAAGCAGGAACTGCTTGGTGAAAGCCACCTTAACTGGACTCCAGATCCTCATACAAGGATCCCAAAGTCTCCTCTGCCCTGTTAGCTAGGTGCTTTAACTGCCTGGCTAGAACAGGGGGTCATCCTTGCTGTGCAAGACTGATCTAGGAAGGCAGTGCTATGTCCTGCCCTATTGCCCAGGCTCAGAGATGCTCATGAGAGCCCCTTGCAGGGCACCAGCTTGCATCTTCAACAATGTAGCTGGGGTCTTCAGGGAGATGTCTGCTCTGGAACGTGTGCAGTAGCCAGACTGGCTGAGCATGTACAGCAAATGGTTCAGAAGAGAGGCTTGTGCTTGGCTCAGTCCTCAGGATCATTCAGCCATAGGCTCCCTGTGTGCTGCCTCTCCAGGCAGCCAACTCTTCCTGGGCCCTCGTTTGTGCACTAGCTTCACTTCTGTTCCCCAGAGGCTCTGGACCTGCCTGGAGTGGGAAGGCTGCATGTATGGCAGTTGCATGGCAGTGGGCAAGCCCACCATCCCCCGTCTGCTTCTGGACACCTGCCAGGCTCCCTCCAAACTTAGGGCATCAAATGAAATTGTCAGTCAGTGCAGGCTTCATCCAAGATAAGGCTTGGCCCAAGGGTTTCCCCTGGCTGCTCTGATCATGACCTTGAGCTCAACCCCTCTGCAGCCTAGCCCGCATGTAAACTCTCACCCCAGGTGCCGCTGGCCAATCTGGGGTGGGAGCTCAGGGTTTGCTCTGAGCACAAGCTGTCTCTTTCAGATCTACATTCACTGCCTGCTGACTGCATGGGGCCAGGAGAGCCTCACAAGCCTGGGGAAGAAGTCCTGCTATTACAACAGTACCTCCTTCAGGTCTGTTCAGCCATTCAGTGCATTACTGGGGGATATAACCAAAGCACCCCATAACACTGGGACTAGTGCGGCTCTCCAACAGAAGAAACAGCTGGCAGGGCTGTTGCAATAGTCACATCTGGGGAAGTGCTTTTTCACAAATGAGACACCACTCCAGAGCATCTGTCAAACAGTGCCTGGAGAAGGCTCTCTAGGCTATGCTTGGAGGGAGGGCATATGTGACTAAACTGGAGCCACCATGACCTGGCTCAAATGTGGCTCCCCTGCCAACATGATGCCATTGCAGGCAGGGTATGGAGGGGACTGGCACTAGGGAGGGTACCTCCCAGAAGCGGGTTTGAATCCAGCTCTGATCAGTAGTTACCATTGGTGGTTGTAGCCTATGTGGAAGTAGGGGGTTTCCATTCAGTTCTAGTGGGCAAGCTTCCACATGGAAATGGCCACCACAACTGTCACCAGCTGGTGGGTTCTCTGCAGAGAACCCACCAAGGCTATAATGGTGTGGGGCTGGCCTGTCCTCAAAGTGCCTGCTTGTGGGGCTATATGGGCTACCCTCTCTGTAGGACCACTCCTGACCCCAGATGTGCTGTGCAGGGACTGCTGCCCAGTGACTCCTTCCTCTCACTATCTCCAGCTGGCAGAACCTAGAGGACCCTTCCCAAAACTTAAAGTGTAGCTGCTGTGACAGCCACTGCCCTGCTGACTCTGCTCCGCCAGGAGAACTAAGAGGTACCAGGACCCTGTGTCCATTATCTTCTCTGCATGCTTGATACTGTGCAACCAGATTGTATGGGCAGTTGGTGAGTGCTCCCCAAACAGAATGTGGGGAGGCTGGGGTGTGGTCACTGTCTTGGCTGCAGAGATCCAGATGTTCTCTGCTGGGGCTATCTCAGCAGACTGCAGGCAGGACCTTGCAGCAATGCCATAAGAGGGTGCTTCATCTGCCCAGGGGGAGGGCTTCTGGATTCCTGGTATCATCCACTCTGCTGTGGCCAGTTAGCATTAGGCTCCCCATTGGACTTGAGTGGTTGTGAGGGCAACAACACATCCAACAAGAGTGGGGCAATGTTGAGGAAATGTGCTCTTCTGTGAGCCTCGATACATGGTGAGGAGGGGGAAGTCTAGCTATCCAACAGGAGCCGGTCACAACCACCTCCCTGCTCTGGTGGGGACACCAACACAAAGGCCCCATCTAACATCAGACTGTGGGCAGCCTCCACTCCATCCTATGGAGCACTTTGTTGGTTGCTACATGGTATCAAACCACCTTGCCAAATCAAGCTGTGGCACCTGAGGTGGGTATTGGACCCTCTCACACAAGTAACCCCTGCTCTGTTAACCAAAACCCTCTCAATATGGCAGTGCAGCCTGTAGTGACTAGCTTGGACAGAGCAGTGTAGCTGCATGCTGGGACCTGTAACCTCCATCTCCTTGTGGCATGAAGGTGGCTGCAGCCATCCCATAGATCTCCATGGCTGTGGTCAGCTGCCTCTGTAGTAAAGTGACTGGACAACCCAGTCTGAGTGTGGGTACAAAGACCTGTTTTCCTCCAGAGTTTGTAGGTGAAGGGATGCTCCACAGAAAGGTAGCTGGCCCCTTGACGGTGCACAAGGAAGAGGCTCCATGGTATGAAGGTAGGTGCGAATGAGACCTGCCAAACTCCTTGTATTGGGAGGGAAGTGGGAATGACTAACTTAGACTCTCAGGTCCTTCCAACCCTACTACACCTGGAAATGGCTAAGACAATGCTAAAAGCTCTGTTGGCACTGGTCTGAGTAAGAAGGCAGTACTTGGTTCTTTAGCTGGCATTGCTTGTAACCACAGTTCTGGGCATTTCTCTGTAGGTGGCATCTAATGAATGGCTATGCACATGGCACAGATACACAAATGCAGGGCTCTTAGCCTTAGACTGGCTTCTCCTGCGGTTACATTGTAATTTGGTCCACTTGGTCTGGACTCAACCCCTGAATGTCTCTCTCCCCTAGAACAATGCCGCACCCTGAAGAAGCTTCTGCTGGTGGGTGTTGCTTTTGTCGGCAGCTGTCTAGTGGGAGCCCTCTTTGTAGGAGGACTCTTAGCTCTGGCTCTGGCCTTGTTCCGGTCATACCAGCGCAGCAAAGGGCAAAGGCTGCTGAGGAAGAGGAAGGAGTACCCCTACCATACAGAGCTGCAGAGTGTGGTGAACGCCCTCGTGACTGCTGAAGAGATGCAGAAGGATGAGAGAGAATCCAGCATAGACTACAACTTGAATACAGATGCACCAGAGAAGGAATAACCAGCCCTTCAAGCTACAATAAATGCTCTGTTTCTCTAATGTTCATCTCTTGTCTTACTTCCCTCTGCTGACAAATGGGGGTGATGGGGAGGAGTCAAAAGCCAAGGAGTTGGGGCTCTGTGTGAAGCTCAGCAATAACAGGTGCAAGTACTGGTGTCCTGACATGCAAGTGCACTTGCCACCTATGCACAGGGCCAATCTCTGCCTTGAATTGACCTGTAACAATGAACCAGGGGACCTTCCTAGTAGCAAATGACTCAGAAAATAGGGCTGGAGTATAGGGCATCTCAAGGCTAGCAGTTAAATCTCTGAAAACAGGCTGAACAGTCAACCAAAGCTGTGCTAGAGGTCAGGGCCAATGCTCTGAGGCTAGAGCTGCAGGCTGGGGTGCTACAGTGGGCACCACCCAAATCCTGCATTTTCTGGTGTCTGTATGTTGCATTGTCTGCTTCTGTGAGGCTTAGAGGAAGGGAGAGACAAACCTCCTCACTTCTCTCCCTGCCAGCATATCATGGCTATTAAGACTGTCCCTGCACTAAAGCAGAGGGAGCCTAACTAACTAGTCCAATAGCACATGGAACTGGAGTGAATTCAGGTTAAAGCAGTTTATTCTGAGGAGAGGGAATTGCTAGTTTTGACTAGTCAGGTTCCCACTGCAAGACAACAGCAGGAACTGGAGCCAGTTAGAGGAATGTGAGTTAGTGCAATTAACCCCCAGAACAGGGGTTTTTTCACAGTAAATACAGATCTCTCAATGGGCCAAAACTAACCTGTCCTGGGGCTTCCTTAGATACAGAATCTACCAGCCCTAGCCTGTATTTAATATCCCCTGGCACCACTGGGTTTTGGTAGCAATTGCACTTTTCCCCTCTTCCCCCTCTCCCCGAATCAGGCCACAAAGGACCAAGAACAACCCTGAAATCCCATGCTGCCAAAGCAGCTGGGCTTCCAGCATTTGGGTAGGGCAACAAGCTGCTGGCAATTCAGGCCTGGTGCTAATGCCTCTGAAGCAGGGGTGAGCCTGCACTGGGGCAGGGCTGCCCAGCCCACTTGCTCTCCTGCCCCCATGTCACAGTAAGTTGGTTTAATAGTAGAAAATTACTCTAAATACAGTGGAGTCAGTTGTGAGGTGAGGAGTTCCTTCTCCTCCCCCCCCCCCCCCCCCCCCCCAGCTTTAGCCATATTGGGGGCTGCCTCAGGAAGGAGGATGTTTCTCTTCTGCACCATAGAGTTTGCGGAGGCTGGAATCCATCAGGAAATCCACTGACCTGCAGAGAGGAGAGGCTGTGGTTACTTCAAACAGTTGTCTTCATTCTCCCATCCCATTCTGCCCTTGGCATGTCCCTTCATTCCATCAGCTGGGCCCCCTCTCCTAGCAAACAGCCCCAGAGCACTAGCTCACAGCGAGGAGTTACTTAAGGAAAGCATTTGTATCCATCTCTAATGTGATCAGTGTTGGGCCCTTAGTGAAAGGGTTAATCACATGGTCTCCTTTGATCTTCTTTCTCTCTCCTCCTAGCTGTTAAATCCCTTGAGAATAACATGAGGGGGAAAGGAGTCCAGGAGAGCTGGCTGTATTTTAAAGAATCCTTATTGAGGTTGCAGGAACAAACCATCCCGATGTGTGTAAATATGGCAGGCGACCAGCTTGGCTTAACAGTGAAATCTTCGGTGAGCTTAAACTCAAGAAGGAAGCTTACAAGAAGTGGAAGATTGGACAAATGACCAGGGAGGAGTATAAAAATATTGCTCAGGCATGCAGGAGTGAAATCAGGAAGGCCAAATCACACTTGCAGTTGCAGCTAGCAAGAGATGTTAAGAGTAACAAGAAAGGTTTCTTCAGGTATGTTAGCAACAAGAAAGTCAAGGAAAGTGTGAGCCCCTTACTGAATGAGGGAGACAACCTAGTGACAGAGGATGTGGGAAAAGCTAATGTACTCAGTGCTTTTTTGCCTCTGTCTTCACAAACAAGGTCAGCTCCCAGACTGCTGCACTGGGCAGCACAGTATAGGGAGGAGGTGACCAGGTTCTCTGTGAAGAAAGAAGTGGTTCAGGACTATTTAGGAAAGGTGGACAAGCACAAGTCCATGGGGCCAGCTGCGCTGCATCCGAGGGTGCTAAAGGAGTTGGCGGATGTGATTGCAGCGCCATTGGCCATTATCTTTGAAAACTCATGGCGATCTGGGGAGGTCCCGGATGACAGGAAAAAGGCTAATGTAGTGCCCATCTTTAAAAAAGGGAAGGAGGAGGATCCGGGGAACTACAGGCCAGTCAGCCTCACCTCAGTCCCTGGAAAAATCATGGAGCAGGTCCTCAAGGAATCAATTATGAAGCACTTAGAGGAGAGGAAAGTGATCAGGAACAGTCCGCATGGATTCACCAAGGGCAAGTCGTGCCTGACTAACCTAATTGCCTTCTATGAGGCGATAACTGGGTCTGTGGATGAGGGGAAAGCAGTGCATGTGTTATTCCTTGACTTTAGCAAAGCTTTTGATACAGACTCCCACAGTATTCTTGCCAGCAAGTTAAAGAAGTATGGGCTGGATGAATGGACTATAAGGTGGATAGAAAGCTGGCTAGATTGTCGGGCTCTGGGTAGTGATCAATGGCTCCATGTCTAGTTGGCAGCTCGTTTCAAGCGGAGTGCCCCAAGGGTCAGTCCTGGGGCCGGTTTTGTTCAATATCTTCATTAATGATCTGGAGGATGGTGTGGAGTGCACTCTCAGCAAGTTTGCAGATGACACTAAACTTGGAGGAGTGGTAGATACGCAGGAGGGTAGGGATAGGATACAGAGGGACCTAGACAAATTAGAGGATTGGGCCAAAAGAAACCTGATGAGGTTCAACAAGGACAAGTGCAGAGTCCTGCACTTAGGACGGAAGAATCCCATTCACTTGTTACAGACTAAGGACCGAATGGCTAGGCAGCAGTTCTGCAGAAAAGGACCTAGGGGTTACAGTGGACGAGAAGCTGGATATGAGTCAGTGTGCCCTTGTTGCCAAGACGGCTAACGGCATTTTGGGCTGTATAAGTAGGGGCATTGCCAGCAGATCGAGGGACATGATCATTCCCCTCTATTCAGCATTGGTGAGGCCTCATCTGGAGTACTGTGTCCAGTTTTGGGCCCCACACTACAAGAAGGATGTGGAAAAATTGGAAAGAGTCCAGCGGAGGGCAACAAAAATGATTAGGGGGCTGGAGCACATGACTTATGAGGAGAAGCTGAGGGAACTGGGATTGTTTAGTCTGCAGAAGAGAAGAATGAGGGGGGATTTGATAGCTGCTTTCAACTACCTGAAAGGGGGTTCCAAAGAAGATGGATCTAGACTGTTCTCAGTGGTACCAGATGACAGAACAAGGAGCAATGGTCTCAAGTTGCAGTGGGGGAGGTTTAGGTTGGATATTAGGAAAAACTTTTTCACTTGGAGGGTGGTGAAGCACTGGAATGGGTTACCTAGGGAGGTGGTGGAATCTCCTTCCTTAGAGGTTTTTAAGGTCAGGCTTGACAAAGCCCTGGCTGGGATGATTTAGTTGGGATTAGGTCCTGCTTTGAGCAGGGGGTTGGACTAGATACCTCCTGAGGTCCCTTCCAACCCTGATATTCTATGATTCTAGGTGCTGCCCAGCCACTTGCTCTTTGATACTAGCTGCCTTTCTTCTCACACATAGCAGCCCCTATTAGAGGCAGCCAGGGGGCTGCTCTTAATTTCCAGCTACTTTTACAGCCCTCAGTGCGGGGGGATGCTTGGCATATGTCGGTGTAGCTAGTGCTCGCAGCGCTTCAAGTTGTCTGAGTGTGAGAATCTCACTTTTTAAAATGGAAACTCAGGTTCTATCCCTGTAGGGGGTGGAGAAAAGCTTGGAGCTGTGACCCTGAACAGCCAGGACACCAGCAACCAGCCAAAAACAATAGGGCTTTGGGGGTGTCTTTAAAAAAAGCCATGCTGGTGGGGGCCTGACTCATGATGTGTGGATGCCCGTGCTGGTAATACAGAGCGGGTGATAGGTGAAAGCAAAGAGCAGCACCGTGTGGGATGGCAAGATGCACCATGCACCACGTCCAGGCACCGGTGAGGGCTGAGGCCCTACGTGAACCAATCAACTTCAGCTTCCCAGGCCTGCACCAGCCTTTGCTTGGTGGCTTGTGGGTCATTTCTCAGTGTAGGAATTTCCTAGTGAGCACTGAGGCTTGTCATCAGCCCCAGGCTGGTATTAGCCATGCGCCCCTGCAGTCTGCCTGGGGCCATAACTCCTTGAAGCAATGGGCAGGGTTTAGCTATGAGCTAGCGCTGTGCTCGGCCAGATGTTCAACAGCAGCTGTGCCAGGAGAGGGTGACACCATGCTGGTGCAGGGCAATGGTGCAGCAAATTCCCCAGTGGTAGCTCCCTCTGAGCTGCTTGACAACAAACACACAGGTTGCACTTGCCAGAGGGCCTGGGGCATGAGGGGACTTTCAGCAGGAGTTGAGTGCCTGAGGCCTCGCTCCAAAGACACTCGGGCGTTGTTCCACTCTCATTAGGGGTTTGTGAGGCCCTGGGCCAGAGCAAGTGGGGCCCCTTCCGCTTGCAGTTCCCCCCTTCCCCCAGCACTCCAGCTGGGGAAATAAGGTTGGGGCATGGGGGCTTCCCCCCCCTCCCCTGCCTGGTGCTCCTGCCAGGGAGTGGGGTCAGGGTGCAGGGGCTTGCAAGGATCACTCACAAGGGTCACTTTTATCCCTAAGGCAGAGCACTACTGCCAAATGCTGCATTTTTAATGCCAAGCACTGTAGCTATCGCTGATAGCGACAGGGAAAACGAGGCACAAAGTGGCGCCATGACTTACCCAAGGCCATACCATGAGTCAATAGTGGAGTGAGGAGTCTTGACTCCTAGTCCTCTGCTCTAACACCCTGCCTCTCTATGCATGTCATGTACACTACCCCCTCCATCACCAGCTTCCCCCCAGGGCATCACAGGCCTCCGGCCTCTTGCCCAGAGTCCTGGGCCCCAGGTGTTGAGCCCTGATCCTGCCACCCGTGTTAACCCTCGGCATGCCAGGGAAGCCAGGCCAGCCCTTACCTGTCAATGGGCTTGATGATGACGGGAATGGCTGAGAGGCCGATGGCTGTGGTCATCCACTTCCGGATGGGCAGGGGCCAATGGGTCATGGTGCCCAGGAAGTAGAGGGAGGCAGCACAGATGCGGTTAATGGTGAAGCCGGGGATAGCCACAGAGGCCAGCGCCTGCCACACAAACGTATCCACCACAGCCACGGCCACCTGCGTCGTCTTCCCCACGTCATGTTCATGTGCCTGATGGGTGCAGCACAGAGAGCATGGAGAGCAGGGACACTGCACTGGAGGAGAGGGGCACAACAGCAGGGAGTGGGTGTGGGAGTGCACAGAGAGGAATGTACCACTGATGTGGAAGAGGGGGGTTCCATACTGGACCGTGTGTGTGTTTGGGGAAATGGTGCAGAGAGGAATGGACCACAGCAGAAGGCAAGCAGAGAAAACACGTTTGTTATGGGCTCTGTGTGCGCATGCTCTGTGTAGGTGTGTGTGCAGGTAGTGGGTGTACAGATCTCTGTGTGTGCGCACACATGTGTACATGTGTGTGTGCAGGTAGGGGGTGTACAGATCTCTGTGTGTGTGTCTAAGTGCACATGTGTACAGGGGTGTGCAGGTAGGGGTGTACAGGTGTGTGCATGCATGTGTACAGGTGTAGGTGCAGGTAGGGGGTGTACAGATCTCTGTGTGGGTTTGTGGGTGTGTGTGCAGGTTGGGGGTGTACAGATCTGTGCATGTGTGCACACATGTGCAGGTCTGGGATGTCAGGTCTGTGTGTGTTTGTACATGTCTGGGTGCGTGCATTAGCTCACCTGAGCAGGGCAGGTGCTGCCCTGGTGTGTGCAGGGTGTAGATCACAGCCTAGCAGCAGCTTTCCCCAGACAGATACCACCACTCAGGAACACGCCACAGAGTTCAGCTTGGCACTGCCGGGCAGCACAGCCGACACAGAGCAAGGAAGCTGCCAAGTCATTGCTGTGTCTGACAGGGATCCCACCCGCCGCTTCAAAGGGAGCCAGGCCTCCCCTGGCCCGCTCACCCAGACCATGGCACATGGCTCCCTGCTCTCTGGCTAACATTGGATGGTGGATCTGTGCTAGCAGGCTCTGACCCTCTGTCTCCAGCACGGTAGCAGGGCTCAGAGCATCCTCTTCCACACTCCTGGAGGTGCTGTAGCTGGCTTCTCTGGCTCCTGGATCTGCTGTCAGCTCCTGGCATGCCCTAAACCCAAATGCTTTTGCAGAGGATGGGCTCAGGAATGATCCCCCAGCCCAGAATATTGCACAGTTATGACACATCTGGCACTGGCCAATGTCAGACACAGGGCTCTGGACTGGATGGCGCAGGGGTCTCTTCCAGAGTGTCAGGGACATGGGATACTGCACTAGATGGACCACAAGTCTCTTCCTGCAGGGGAATTCTTATGGTCCTAACCTCCAGCTCTCCTGGAGACAGGGAGGTGAGTGAGAAAGGACTGAAAGGAAAAGGCAGGTGCATTTCACAGAATAGAGATGCAGGACACTACAAGTCCTGAGCTGACACCATGAATCAAAAGATGCCCAGGAACTTCAATCTGTGGAGTCTGATGCCTGTTGCAGGTGGAGTGGGAGAGAAAGACAGGGCCTCAGCACAGAGAGCTGTGCAGCGGAGGTGTGCAAGACTGACTTTGTCTGTGCAAAGATGGGGACTGCCCCTGGGCTCAGAGGCAGAAGCAGACTTTTGGTGCATGAGCAGGACTGGCCCGGTAGACAGGATCTGGGCAGGAATGAGAGGGAGGGTGGAGTTGGCAGATGAGAGAACTTGGCCCCAGGCTGCCCAGTTTGTCAGCAGGAGAGGGGAGCCCTTGTCCCATGGAAGGTCAGAGGCCCAACAGCGAGACCCACCCTAGCCTGCCCTTCCCCTGGCACTGCTCCCTCCACCAGGACCTGACCAGGGTCTAAGTGACAGGATCTTGCTCTGGCCCCTCTCTTTTAGGACACACACAGGCGATCCCCAGGGTCCAGGAGACAACCAGTTCTGGGGGGCGGTAACAGAAGGGTTTGAGAGCTCCAGGACACTTACAACAGCTGCCTTCTTTCCCTTATCAATCGCGTCAGCCGTCACATACGTAGTCGCCACCCCATAGCTCGCCCAGACCAGCGAGATGGGCACAATGGCTCTGAAGGACTCTCCAACTTCATTGGCGTAGCCTTTAAGAAAGGACAAGGTCGGAGAGGAGTTAAAACAAAAAAATGGTGGGACTCCAAGCTCCACCCACAACACCCCAGTAGCTAAATGATCAGCTGTCCACGTGTTGTCATTCAAGCATCAGCACTAGGCTTCAGAATGGCAGCTCTTTGCAACCAATGGGCAGCTCACGCCTCTCAGAGAGTGTCAGTCTCTCTGCAGACTGAACAGACAATTCTGCATCAGGTCACCTCTGGGATCAGGAGGCTGGGAACTGCACATGTAAATTCTGCAGGAGGTGCCGGCCCAGGAGAGAATAGGCCCTGGGTCCCTCCTCAGCAGGGCTGAGGCATGGGGCAGGGCAGCGTGGGCGAAGCTTGCCCTCTGCTGCACTACTCTGAGGCTCTCCAGGGCTCGCTCACGGATGCACCACACAGAGTTTCAGAGCAACCTGCTTCTCAGCAGTGCCTCCTGCGTTATTTTTAGCCCTGGTGCTCCCATACCTGAAGGTTGTGCCAGGTGCCTCCGGAGCACGGAATCACTGAGCCCTGGCAGATGCCTCACTAGTCTGGGGCTGACAGGCAGGAAGGTCACCTTGAGCGCTTGCCCTTTGTTCCCTGCATCGCCCTCCAGCAGCCCATCGTGAAGGGGTGGGCGGTGCCACCATGGGGCGAGCTGCCCGCTGAGGGTAGGGGCAGAAAGCCAGCCCCAGCGGGAAGATCCCATGGTGCGGGTAGTCACAGGAGCACATTTGACCCAGTGACTCAAAGAAGCCAAATGCTCCATAGTATGGCATGGGGACACGGCTCCCTTCTCTGCAATGCAACAATCGGGGCGGGGGTGGTGGGGAAGGAGCGCATGGGCGCCTGAATGTGCTGTGCACGGATTGCACAACAACACACACGCTATACACTGATCTATGTAAATCGGTGTGCGGTTACACAGCAACACACACACTCTATATTGCACAGCTACACAATAACACCCTGAAAAATCAGGCTGACAACCAACCCTTACAGCATTAGCTATGGAGTGTGGCTGCCTCTCTCCTCGGAGTACACACAGCCCCTTCCCCACGTGTGTGCGGCACCCTGGAGCCCAGGCAGCATGCCCTGCACGGACGGCTAGGTGTCTAACACAGCGGAAGCTCCTGCTCCCAGACACATCACTGACCATGGAGCTAGTGCCGCGCTGTGCACACGTTACACGGGCGGGGGGGTCAGGATCGGGCCCGCAGCGTGGCCGCGGCGGGCCGGCGTTACACGGGGTCAGGATCGGGCCCACACTCACCCAGGTAGCGCACCCACGTGTCGCGGTAGAGGTCGGTCTCGGCGGGGGGCCCCATGGCGCAGCGGCCGCTGGCTCCAGTCACGCCGGCCCCGGGTCAGCTGGCTCCATCCAGCCCGAGGGCGGTGTCAGCAAATCCCCGCCCCCGCGGGGCTAGGCGAGCGCGGGCGCTGCTAGTGGCGGGCCGATGGGAGCCAAGCTCAGCCAGCCCTTCCCCGGGACACATCTGCCGCCCGGCGCCGCCCGCAGCCGGGAGCTGCCTTCCCCAGCGAAGTCACACCAGAGATACTCTAGCACCCCCCCCCGCGCGCTGCCCCGTGGTGTGTGCAGTGTCACAAAGGCCCTGAGCTGCACCCCAGGGGGAGGGGGGAGACCTGCACAGAGCCAGGGTCCTGTGGGGGGGAGGGCTAAGCACCCCCAATAGCCAGGGGGCTCTGATGGACCCTGACTCACCCACCTTCCTGCTGCAAGGCCTGGGCCTGCAGCGTTGGGTCAGGGCCATCTCTACCAGAATAGTTGGCAGTAGCCTCCCCTGGGTCGGACCCCACTTTCCAGGCAGGAATAAAATCGGAAACCACACATGGATATTTCCAGCCTCAAGGGAGGGTCTTTCAGAAAGTTAAAAGGAGGAGGGGGTTGAGAGTCCCTGGCAGCTGAATCTAGACTCTCTGGGTTCATGGCTCTGATTGTGCTAAGACATCAGTGCATTATATAGGGGGTTGTTCTTATAGACAGAGCAGCCCCATTTCCTTATAATGGTCATTCCTTTCTACCAGAGCTCTATTCTGCTGGGAATAAATGACAGTGCAGGGCTAAACTGGGGTTATGAATTACAGTATTCCACTGGCATGTATGTTATCGTGTGCTCCTCTCTGTGAATCAGATTGTAATTTCCTTTCCAGAACTCAGCTTCAATTTATCATAGAATCAGGGCCGGCTCCAGCTTACCAAGCAGGTGCTTGGGGCGGCAGGTCCAGCTGTTCGGCGGACAGTCCCTCACTCCTACTCCGAGCGAAGGACCTCCCGCCGAATTGCCGCTGCAGATCGCGATCGCGGCTTTTTTTGTTTGTTTGGCGCTGCCTCTGCATAGAATATCAGAGTTAGAAGGGATCTCAGGAGGTCATCTAGTCTAACCCCCTGCTCAAAGCAGGACCAATCCCCAGACAGATTTTTGCCCCAGATCCCTAAGTGACCACCTTAAGGATTGAACTCACAACCCTGGGTTTAGCAGGCTAATGCTCAAACCACTGAGCTATCCCTGCCCCCTACTGGAACCACTCCTATTCAACGTATTCATAAACGATCTGGAGAAAGAGGTAAAAGGAGGTGACAAAATTTGTAGATACAAAACTACTCAACATAGTTAAGTCCCAGGCAGACTGTGAAGAGCTACAAAAGGATCTCACAAAACTGGGTGACTGGGCAACAAAATGGCAGATGAAATTCAATGTTGATAAATGCAAAGTAATGCACATTGAAAAACATAATCCCAACTATACATATACAATGATGGGATCTAAATTAGCTGTTATCACTCAAGAAAGAGATCTTGGAGTCATTGTGGATAGTTCTCTGAAAACATCCACTCAATCTGCAGCGGCAGTCAAGCCAACTGTTGGGAATCATTAAGAAAGGAATAGACAATAAGACAGAAAATATCAGATTGCCTCTATATAAACCCATGGTACACCCACATCTTGAATACTGCATGTAGATGTGGTCTCCCCATCTCAAAAAAGAGATATTGGAATTGGAAAAGGTTCAGAAAAGGACAACAAAAATGATTAGGGGTATGGAACAGCTGAGGAGAGATTAATAAGACTGGGACTTTTTCAGCTTGGAAAAGAGTTGACTAAGGGGGGATATGATATGACTGGTGTGGAGAAAGTAAATAAGGAAGTGTTATTTACTCCTTCTCATAACACAAGAACTAGGGGTTACCAAATGAAATGAATAAACAGCAGATTTAAAACAAACAAAAGGAAGTATTTTTTCACACAATGCACACTCAACCTGTGGAACTCCTTGCCAGAGGATGTTATAAAGGCCAAAACTATAACAGGGTTCAGAAAAGAACTAGATACATTCCTGCAGGATAGGTCTTCGCCAGGATGGGCAGGGATGGTGTCCCTAGCCTCTGTTTGCCAGAAGCTGGGAATGGGCACCGGGATGGATCACTTGACGATCCTGGGGGTTGCTGTTGCTGTTCTGTTCGTTCCCTCTGGGGCACCTGGCATTGGCCACTGTCGGAAGACAGGCTACTGGGCTAGCTGGACCTTTGGTCTGACCCAGTGTCACAGAGTCACTGGGTCAATGCTCTGGAACTACTCCATACAAAGCCAGTCAGGACTCTGGTGTAGCATGCCTCCTCTCTCTGAGCATATTGTCACCAGGGCAAGCTTACCTAGCTTCGACCTTCCTGGATCTGACCACGGAGTATTCAGCATCTCCTTCCTCCCTGTGTGCTTCCCGCAGCGAGTCCACCTGGGCGGGGTTCCTGGGGAAGCCAGAGGCCCTGCACCCCAACTCCTACAGTTAGCAGTCACTCTCAGTCAGCATGTAGAACAGAAGGGTTTATTAGCTGACAGGAACACCGCGTAGAACAGAGCTTGCTATCTCAGAAATCAGTGACTTTCAGCCAAGTCCATCTTGGGGAGTCCTGGGCCAGACGGCCTGGACTCCCCCTCTTCCAGTCCCCCGAGCAGCCTGCCCAGCTTCCAGCGACCCGCCCTCTGACACCCCCGTTGCTCCTTCTCCTCTTTGTCCTGCTTCCCTGGCAAAAGATGTCAGCTGGTCACATCCCCCTCCTGGGTCTCAGGTACATATGTGCAGACAGCTGGACAGCCTCACCTGCCCCGAGGGCCTCAGCAAAAATCACACACCCACTTCCCACCACCGAAATATTGGTGCAGTACACAGGGAAACTGTTGTACACATAGTATTAGTATAGGACAGTAAGACGCACATGCAACATAACAAGATGAATAAAACCCCACTTCGTCACATCTCTCCCCGCTCCGAGACCGAACTGAGTGGGACCACTTTAGCCAGTGGTCTGGGGAAGTTCTGGCCCAGCACTTGTTTAACCTGGGAAACATGGTCCTCCCAGGTCTGGCTAAAAACACAGATATCATCAATATACGCCAGGGCAAAATTCTCCATCCCTTTGAATAAATGGTCCACCAGGCGCTGGAAGGTGGCAGGTGCCCAGGGCCGTCCCTAGCCATACGCAAACTACACAGCTGCTTAGGGCACCAGGAAATTTGGGGCACCAAATTGCCCCAAATTTCCTGGTGCCCTACGCAGCTGCGTGCTACATCCAGCTCCAGCAGCCAGCCCGATCCCCCGGACAGCTGAGCCGGCCCCTCGTGGACTGTGCACAGCAGGACCCAAGAAAGCTGCCTCCACCCCAGCCCCACTCCTTCCCCTCAGCTCCCACCCCTGCTCCGCCCCAGCCCCACCCCCACTCCACCCCTTCCCCCCCAAACCCCGTCCCCTGAGCTATGCGTCCCAGGGGACTGCAGCAGGGGTCGGGGTCGGGGTCGGGCCCACCCTGCACTCACCAGGCGGCGGGAAGTGGAGTGACCCGGCCCCAGCTTGCTATGCTACGCTGGCTCCCAGCCGCGCTGCTGGTGAGTGCTGGGGGGCGGTTCCCCTCCTTCTCCCAAGCCTGGGAGCAGAGCAAAGCAGGCTGGGGCCGGGTCGCTCCACTTCCCGCTGCCCCGTGAGTGTGGGGGCGGGCCCGACCCCTGCTGCCTTCCTACACTGGCTGCTCCTGCCTCCCAAAGTGGGCGCAGCCCACCCTCACCCCCTGCAGAGGCCTGGGACACCCCCCTCTTGGAGGCCCGGGGCCGGCCCCCCTGCAGGGGGGCTGCGTAGGGCACCACAATCTCTAGGGACGGCCCTGCAGGTGCCCCCTTTAGGCCAAAAGGTAGGACCAGGAACTCGTATAGCCCCAGAGGGGTGATAAAAGCAGATTTCAGCCTGGCATCCGGATCCAAGGGTACTTGCCAGTAGCCCTTGGTGAGATCCATAATAGTGAGATAAAGAGCCCCCCCTAGCTTGTCTAGGAGCTCGTCAGGCCTAGGCATGGGGTAGGCATCGAACTTGGTGATGGCATGGGGAGGGATAGCTTAGTGGGTTGAGCATTGGCCAAGGATTGTGAGCTCAATCCTTGAGGGGGCCATTTAGGGATCTGGGGCAAAAATCTGTCTGGGGAGTGGTCCTGCTTTGAGCAGGGGGTTGGACTAGATGACCTCCTGAGGTCCCTTCTAACCCTGATATTCTATGATTCAACACAAAACCGGATTGACCCGTCCTTCTTGGGGACCAACACCACGGGAGAGGCCCAAGGACTGGAGGATGTCTGGATTACCCCTAAAGCCAGCATGTCCTTGACCTCTCTCTCCAGGTCCTGGGCTGTTTTCCCAGTGACCAGGAACTGGGAGCATCTTACAGGAGGGTGGGCTCCTGTCTCCACCAGGTGGACAACCAGATTAGTGAGCCCAGGCCGGTTGGAGAACAGCTGCTGGTAGGAACCCAGCACCTCTTGGATCTCTGCCTGCTGGGCAGGGGTTAGCTGGTCAGAGAGGTGAATTGATTCCAGTGAAGGGCCAGACCCTGTCTCAGGGAATAGATTCATCATGGGATCATCTCCCTGCGCCACACACGGCCAGTACCAAATTCTCCCTGTCAAAGTACAGCTTCATCATGTTAAGTATCAAAGCGGTAGCCGTGTTAGTCTGGATCTGTAAAAGCAGCAAAGAGTCCTGTGGCACCTTATAGACTAACAGACGTATAGGAGCATGAGCTTTCGTGGGTGAATACCCACTTCTTCGGATGCATGTAGTGGAAATACACTGCACCATCTACTCAGGACACTCCCTACACTAACACAGGAACAAATCAACATACCCTTAGAGCCCCGAC